AAAAAAAAACAGCATAAATGTCTTTCCACGAAATACAAGTAAAAGAAATTATGTTCAAGCTCGTATATAAACCAGCATTCTGTTTTCTCTGCTTTTCAAAAATTTGAAATGATTGAAGATTTCTTTCCACGAAATACAAGTAAAAGAAATTATGTTCAAGCTCGTATATAAACCAGCATTCCGTTTTTCTGCTTTTCAAAAAATTGAGATGATTGGAGAGTTCTATTTGTTCCGCAAAATGTTGCGGAAAAACAATTTTGTCATCTTTTAGTCAACAAAATGTCATGCGAGATTCAACACGAGAAAGCTCAGTGAATTATGCCTTAGAGGCTTTGCAACTGTTACATTAGCTTTATCTATTAATCTTAAATCGGCAAGAGAAAAGCATTCAAAGAGTAACAACCCCGCAGAACATCTATGCCACCAGCTGGTTCGTTGTGAAATGCATACCACTGCATCTTTCCTCCACCCACGTCAGAAGAAACAAAGTACTGTTTATGTCCCAAAAATACGCGGTACCTTTAACAGAAATACAGAAATATGATCCTCTTTCTCAGAATATATAGACTAAGTCAAGAGGTACGTACAAGGATAAGATGCAATATGTCAACCATAAACAACATACCCAACAGTCTCAATATCAGCAGGAACAAAATCTGCAATTCCAGTGTAACAAGTGTAGCCCGAGTATATAGCTTCTGTTAGTCCAAACAAATTTCTCCTCACCTATGTGGAACTCATCATCCAAAATGTCAGATTTAAGAGACACTCAAATTGCAATTTATAATATGGCCTAGAAATGACATAATTATACATGTGCGTTTGCCCTTAATCATCCAACACCAACAGATTTCCAATCCAGAAATTTTAACCAGAATATTCTACCGAACAAAAAGTGAAGATATTCATAGCCAGATATTTACAGTTAATCTGTCAGCAAATATCCGCCAATAGAGTACCAAAATTTGTCCACAAAGACATGCACTTTCATTTTCGTTTGATTAGCAAATAAACTCTTTATACTAATTCTCATTAAAGAATTTAGTAATACACATAACAAAAAAGAAAAAGAGAAATACCTTCGACCAGATTCCATCAGCACCAACTAGAACATCGCCTTCATAATGCTGTCCATTCTCAAGTATTACAGTAACCTGAATTTGCAGAACACAGAGTACGAAGGTGAAAAACCAAGATTTATAGAAATACGAGGAATGTAATCCACATCTACCTTAATTCTATTATAGGATAGAAAAGAAAATTTCAACGCATATAAAACTACCTTTTGACCATCATCCTCGAAATCTACTACATTGCTTTCATTCATGATGATATCTTCTCCAACTGCACGAGCAAGGATTTGTTGCAATGTCATGCGGCTAATAACTCTAGTGACTGGAATCCCCCGTTCCGCTGCAGGAGTGAATGTATCAAACTTGATGTACCTGATAATCAACTAACTAATCATTTTAAGCAATTATTCTGATACGAGCTAGAGAAGGTCTTGAGAAAAGAATTATACTTTCTTATACAGTGTACTGTAGATTATCCAAAATAATTTTGTCAGTGGTGCCTAATTTCAGTTAATGTACACTGGCCCTCAGCACCTCTCTTTCAATGGATCAATGAAACTAAATTGGAATGCTCTCATGTAATGGGTTCTCCATGTACCAAATATAAATGAAAACGAAGAAAATACACATGAAAATTTGACACAATTTACTTGAACAAGAACAAAAAGTTGATAGATGTAATTCTATGACAATAAACCAAACGATAGGGGATGGTCTTCTTTTTCTGTATTCAATCGAGAGAAACTCCTCTAATAAAATAAAAGGAATTTCCAACAGAAAGCCTTAATCTTTACTGGTCAGCGCCATGTGTTACATGAGTCAATTTTTAGATGCATGCATTCATATTAGATTGGAGCAAGCAAGGAATGACAACTTCGGATATATGGCAGAGAGAAGCCACACTGAGAATGTAAAGGAAGAAATACAGGTGCTTCATGAAGAACATAAGAAGCTTATGTGGGGAAAATTCAATTTCAAATTTTAACTTCACGCCTTGTGCTCAACCACATTCAGAAAAGAATTTATGAAAGCCTCTACAGCAGAGTTATGGATATAATGCATTTTGCCGTATCTCTTCTAGCTCTAGCATATCAGCCATTTCACAAGTGATGACAATTTACTCTCCTTGGAACTAATGGAAGTTAAAA